TAAAAATAGAATTATTGTCCCATATCATGGGGACAACCCCAATACTTGAAATGGCGCGCGCTTACGGTCTCCGTCCCCGATTATGGCTCCTGATATGAAATTAAATCATTACGTTGAAGAAAGAGTTTTTCTTACTGTGGGGGAAAACTTTTTCAGAAACGCCAACAACTTCGTCGCGAAGATAGAACATCAAAATGTGACTGTAATCGCACATATATTTATTTAAAAATTGACAACTAATAAAATTGCTATCTTATCTTGACAAAATAAGTTCTTTTATATTATGCTTTTATTGACTAATTGGTTATTTATAAGTCATTTCCCCGGATGTAATGGGACAAACGCAGCTGAATCAGCCAATAATTATATTATGTTATGTTATTTTTGTTATGATTGCAAAAAGGACTTTCTGTAGTCAATTTATATATGTTATTGAACTAGCGCGAGATCGTTAGAAATATTAGTCGAGTTCCTTTTTTGCACGTTCATGGACACAATATTCTCCAGTACAGACCGAACAAGTTCAATAAAGTATTTATTATAATGGCTCTTTTTAATCTGCTGCTAAATTTATGGGTCTTCGCGATCCTTTCTCGATAAACGCGGGTGCGAAAGATAAGCATGCAGTTATTCAGGTTTCTCATGTCGCTTTTGTGACCATGTTACCGAATTTGTTTTCCAAACATGAAGGTAAAAAGATTTCTACTTACCAAAAACTGTTCGTTTTGTGAACGAATTGAAAAAGCAATTCGGGGAAATTAAGTCATGAGCGGTCCCTTTTAGCGGTCCGTATTGCAAAATTCGGACCGCCCAGGAAACCAATCAGAATTGTCCTTTTCATCGCGGAACAGTTCAGCCATATAATAAATTCAAATATGTTATCAAACCCCTGGATATTTAATCATAATACGCTTAATGGGACTCCCACTTCGTGGTCGACCGACGCCTTCTTAATCACCCGGATGATAATACAGACCTAATTTGACCCAAGTCAGTCTTTTTACCATTATTAATCACTTGAAATGAGTGGGCAGCACTGATATAAGAACCAGCTGGCTGGAGTGGAAACAGGTTTCGTCACGTTACAGGCCGCTCGAACTACTTAATTTCAAAACTTAATGATCATGGGACTGAATTTGGTCGCGACTCACTGAAAGAAATCTTGGTACACAATTATTGAAAGTATCTACGATGCCTTTTTCCATAAACGAGGAAGCTTATGAATCACTAACCAAGCTCACACATAATTCCATTAACCAAAATAATGACGGTGTATTTACTGTCAACTACAAAATCTTTTATTCATTATTGTATTATTTTTTATGACATTTATTTTCTGACCTTACATTTGTATTTCAAATTATGATAACTGTAGGTTTTATGTATTTTTTAGTAATGCCAAATTTCTGCCTGCAAAGTATATCAGCAAAGGAAATCTTTCAGAGGCGTACACGACTTTGTTACGGCCTAAAATGGGACTTCAAAATGTCAGCATAACAACGTGAAATCACACAGATATATGTTAATGTGGAGGAAATTAAAGTAAACATATAATATAACTTCTATATCAACAAGACAAATTGCTAAGACACTTTCCTTTTATTTTATTACTTCAATCCAAACCAGGACAAATTTCTCGAATATGTTTGGCCATGAACGCTTCATGTGTCAGTAATTGGATAGTACACGGTTTTTACTCGCACTGTAATGAGACAGATTCAGTTGAATGGGTTTCTTTTGTCCAGCATCAAAGAAAGGGGAAAATAGGATTAAATTTGTAGTTGTTCTTGTTTACCACAATTTATCCCTCCTATGATATTAATCGCTGACTGAACTTCGTATCGTAAATTCGGCGTGTCCTTGTACTTAAGACATCAGGCTTCCACTTTGCGCTCGTTCGATTTTGCTAATCATTCATGTTATAAAGCAGACGGAATTCGACTTTACTCATTCATTTTAACGTTATAAATTGCTTAAAGCAATATAAGTGTGCCGCATGAACAGCTAAGCTGAGTAGATTGGGAGAAGACATGACAATGAAATAGCATGTGGCAGGCCTCATTTTCCCAACGGAAGTGAAGACAACATTAGCTTGACTTTGTATGTGAACTGTTTTAAAAATTCACATAAAGCAATTTGTGATTATGTTATTGACTGGGAATAGTTGAATCTTCATGGAAAATTGACGACCTTCACATGAAATAAGATTCTGCTTTTAAATATTTGACGGTATCAAGGCATTAACTGTCAATATCACACACACACACACACACACATATTTAAAAGCGACTGCCGCGCAGTTCAAAGTTTCTTAGCCAAATTGAAGGGATTTTAGTTTTTTTTTTTTTCAAATAAAGCAACAAGATGTTATGTGAAGTTCCGTTTTATTTACACAGAAAGTGTAACAGTGAAAAAAAGTAAAAACGTAAAAACAAATAATTATACCTGTACCTGATTGAAGTTTGACTCTTCAAGATTTATGTCAATTGCTAATATTTTTGGCTCTCAATTGTCATTCTTTCATTTTACTTCATTTCAGTGTTTTGGCTCATCTCCTTGGCATTATCTTTCTGTCTTAATACAATTGCCAAGATGAAAACTTGAGAAAATGTTCTCAGCTGTTGAGAAAAAAAAACCACATGCGAAAGGATTTCTTTGTAGCGTCTTAATTCCCTCGGCTCTCTATTTATGCTGTTCATTACACATGCCTGGTTTCTGTCAGAGGCAGGTGGTGTTTAATGAGACACCAAGCATATCCGATGCTAATAGTTTCACAGACTTGGAAGCTTGAAAGGCCATTTATGATAATTATGTTAAGTATAAAGCTGTCGGCTTTTGCATTTTCCTGTTATGTTGTCTGCATCTTCTCACGGAACGTGGTTCAGGACGTCGAACTGCCAAAGGGAGCAATATTTACCAGTGTCCATACGGTAACATAAAACAAAAACATGTTCGACGAAAATGCAACTTTGGTGTCGCTCATCAAGAACTTCTCAGCTACCAAGGAAAACGCTGAAAACAATACTCGTGGCTGTCCTGTAGGCGATTCCACAGTTGAAACGGTCATAAAAACCCTAGCCTATTTCATCATTCTTATTGTTTCGTTAGCTGGAAATATCTATCTTATCGTGGTTATTCACAAGAACAAGCAGCTACGAAAGTCGATCAACTACTTTGTTTTTAACATGGCTGTGTCCGATCTGTTCAACCCGTTGACCATCATGCCTACAACCATTGCTTATATCATTTCAGGCTCTGAAGCTTGGAAGGTTGACGGTCCGCCACTACTGGGAGACATTTTGTGCAAACTTTCCTTCTTTCTTCCCGATGTTTCACTTATTGTTTCCATCGAAAGCCTCTTGTTGATATCAATGGACAGGTTCGTCGCCGTTGTCTTCCCGTTTAAGGCCAAACTCATCACCCCAAAAATTCGCCTCATTTGCATTGGTTGTTCGTGGATAGTCGCCATTGCAGTTCACGCGCCCTATTTCTACATTTTCAAACTGGTAATAAATCCCAACGATAATAAACCACATTGCGTATCGGATTGGGGACCGGCATTTGATAATGAAGAAACCCGCAAGAGATTTCTCACAGCGACTTTCATCATTTTTTTTCTTGTTCCAGTTTGTTTGTTAGCCATCGTGTATGGCTTCATTGCATGGAGACTAAAAGCGCAGAGCAAAGAAACCGAGCAACGGTTGTCTTGTCGCCAACGGCTTCGCGATCAGCAACACAAAAAAATTATCCGAATGTCAGTGGCCATAATTATTGCCTTCGCCGTTTGTACGTTTCCACTGATTGTTTTCACGTTCTCTCTAATTTTCCTGTGGAACTGGAACGCGCCACCCATTTGTGCACTGGGCACTGCGATTCCATTCACGTGTCTCTTTATGCTGCGTTTGTGGAGCGCGGTAAATCCTTGTATCTGTGTTATCTTCAACAAGAATTTCCGTAACGCTTTTAAACAAATATCATTAATTCGCAACAGCCGCAGGACATCAGCGGGGGATGGAAGCCGTCGCATGCAAACTGGAACGACTTCAATTTATCTCAAACGTTTGTCGAAAGCGAGTCCAGTTTGACTCTGATCGATTGAAATTCATTTAACTATCAGAGGCATAAGAAAACAATCGCCCCTTGGTCGATCACAATGTCTACCTTTACTACAAGTAGCATTTAAGTGAAATCCCAGTTTTCATCTTTCAAGAAATTTATCGAAATAGTTAATAACTGTGTCGTTTCATGAATTACAAATGAGGAGGAGGAGGAGGCGAGAAAAGAAGCCTGATGGATTTTTAATTTCGGCTGGGCATAAGTGAAAAATTTGAATCTGGCATTGGTCAATATTTTGGGCAAGGGTTTTTTGTTCAATTGTCAAGCCAACAATTCCTGTGCAAATACTACTAACATCTACAGGCATTTTATGACACCATTAAGCTCCCGTATTTAACATATTTTAATCATAGCCTGATAACGCAAAAAGATCATTAGAATTGTGACTTTTGTGAGAAAAAAAAAAGCAGTCCTAGCCAATATTCTTATCTTGAGCTATTCTTAATATGTATTATCATAGATTATTGATATAATCAGCCAAATTATCTGAATAATTATTTTAAATTAAATGGAAATGTACGTAGTCTTTATTCTCGATCAGCTTCTAACACATATACCGTTTACGGAAGGTCAAATTATGGGAACGATCACAATGTCTACCTTTTACTACCAGTAGCATTGAAGTGAAATCCCAGTTTTCATCTTTCAAGAAATTTGTCGAAATAGTTAATAACTGTGGCGTTTCGTGAATTGTAAATAAGGATGAGGAGGAGGCGGGAAAAGAAGCCTGATGGATTTTTAATATCGGCTGGGCATTAGTGAGTAATTTGGATCTGGCATTGGTCAATATTTTGGACAACTTAAGAGTTGTTTGTCCAATTATCAAGCCAATAATTCCTGTGCAAATACTGTTAACATCTTCAGGCATTTTATGACACCATCAACCTCCTGTATTTAACATATTTTAATCATAGTCTGATAAAGCAAAAAGATAGTTAGAATTGTGACTTTTGTGGGAAAAAAGCCGTGTTAGCCAATATTCTTATCTTAAACTATTCTTAATATATATTATCATAGATTAGTGATATAATCAGCCGAATGATCTCAATAATTACTTTAAATCAAATGGAAATGTACGTAGGCGTTATTCTCGATCAGCTTCTAACACATATACCGTTCACGGAAGGTCAAATTATGGAAAATGTCCTTTAAAATGTAAAGGAGCCCAGATTTAGAACAAGGTAACCAAAGACTTGTAAAAATGATAATATCGAATAATGATTTGAAGACGTTTTCTAAAGTTTTTGGTCAAATCCACATGTTTTCGGAGATTACTCAAATCCGCTTTAGCATTAGTACATTGACAAATTGTATCAACCTGCTGCACTTGAGATGGTTTACTGAAATATGGAGATCTTCCGAACAAAAAAAGCAACAAAAACACTCGGTAAAGCTCACTAAAACTTCCTGCCTTTATTGGTTATCTTTGGTACGTCCATTTGTGTAAATAAAGTATAATCAATCAATAAATAATAGTACATGATGAGAAAATGATATTTAGCAAAAATTCCAATGAAGTGTAAACTTGCAACCATTGGATTTGTGGTTCCTTTACAACTTTGGCTATGTTTAGTTTTGTATCTTAATTTTTTTAACAGCAGAACCAAGTCCTCCTGACAATTTTGCATCTTTATTATTGCTTCCTCATGCTGTGTTATGGAAAAACGAGGAAGCCCTGCGGTAAAAAATCTGTCAAAGATATCCAAACTTGGCGAACATTGAATAGGAAGATTAATCTTGACCGTTGACGATGTTAGGGTTGACTGAGTGTTTCGTGTGCTTATTCGAACTGCGTGATCATCCATGCTTTCAGGTTAAATAAAATTAGACCTACACACTAAAAGCATCTTCAGTGGTCTTTTTAGTCACCCGACCGCACCTTTTTTTTGCTTTTTGTTTAGGCAAATTGGCTGATAGGGCTAACACTTAGAAAGCAGGCGTGCTTAGAGATTAAATTATCGATAGTCAGCGCACGAGCTTAAGGAAACAACGACGACAGCGGCAACGAGAACGCCACCAAAAAGAGTTTAATGAACAAAACAATGTCTGTGCACGTGCGTTGTAAATCTTTGTGTATTCCTTAGCCTTCCTCTGCAAAACAGCAGCGTGAAATGACCAAGTTCAGCGTAGTCCTGGTGAACGTGAGCGACAGCGGCTAATTAGTTTTTTTTTTTTGTATTTTCGTTTGGAATTGAACGCTGGCATTACATATTTAGCCTGAAAAAGGTTTTTAATCCATAGGTGTACTAAACAGGTCTAGACAATTGCCAAGTTCAAAGATAAAATAGAAATTCATTTTTTTCTGGGCGTCCCTCTTGGCGTCGCCGTCTTCATTTCTTACGTTCCTAACGTTTGCGCGAAACTCGCAAAAAAGGCAGACTGTTTATACCCTGCTAGCATAGTTTCCGTCGATCTTCTAGAAAAATCTTAGGGGTTAGGGCTATCGACACAGACTCTGCTCGCAGGGTGCTCTGTTTTTGATGATTTCTGTTTTTGATGAATACATATCTCAAGCTGGGTGACGTGCCAAATTTCGACGATAAACGAGTTTCCTCTTTTAGGGACGCGTCATCTTGGCGCACCAAATTTTCTGATACGCACAGAAATAACAGCATTTAGCTATTTTTACAGAAGCAGGCTTTTTAATTTTCGAAATTAGCTCGAGATTAATCTAGAAGAGTTATTCATCTTTGCGCTCAAGCTGTGATCTGAAATAGGAAAAAGCGAAAAAGTTATCTTTACGGTACGCAGGATCAAGCCAAACCATGGGCAACAAAACTTTTGCAGCCTATCTTAGATTGTCTTGGCGTCCTTTATTTACTACCAGCCTGAA